AATCCCTTACATGCGTCCCCTTCTATCCGACCGGATTCGTAGCTCGGATTTCTTCATCGCAAGTTTTCATTCGCATTAAAATTTCACTGTTAAATCATCACTCCAGTTAGGTTTTTTTGTAGACGACTCTATATCATCGTGTTCGCAATGAAAAGGTGCTTATTTTACTACATATATAAGATTCACTTATTAAACAAATCGCTGCGAATAGCTAGTATGAACATACCTGTTTATACCTGCCAACCCACTAAGTACACCAGAAAAAAAATAGACAACCCAACGTTTTCATACTATATAGGCTTCATACCTTCGGTTGGTATTAAATTTATTTGTTGGACTTATTAGTGCAAATTTTATCAAAACGTCATTTTTTAATTTTATATGTATACGAGGGGGTACCCCAAAAAACAGGAATTATTTTTTAAAAGCTATTTAGTTTCAACTTTTTCACAACTTAACCTTCAAAATACTGTCCACTTTCCCTTTGCATTTGTCTTTGACTTTTGCATTTGTCTTTGACTTTGCTTTTGCCTTTGTCTTTGACTTTGCATTGCTTGGCCTATCACTTCACCCATGCATGTGCCTTGGCAGCGCTATCACCTTTAAGTTCAACTTCGCCTACAACTGGTTTTGAAGCCACTATATGTGAGGTCACCCCTCATAACTGGGACCTCCACTTCAAGCACCTGGCCATCCTCGCTTCAGTCCAGTCAAAATGGACCGACCAGCTAAAGATAAGTTGATAGTTTTATAGCAGCGTCAAAGATTTAAAACTTATTTTGTTCTTTAAAACTTTAAAATTGTAATGTAATAAAAATGCTTTTTTGTTAAATAAAATCTGTTAAATTTTTGTGTTCTGTTTGTTCTTCTATCCTCTAGCCATGCCATGGTCGACACACAGCTACACGCCTGTAGATGTTTTCATGCCACCGACTGAGCTACCGGAAGCTAATGGTAACCCCCTTTCTGTGATTGTGCAGAAAAGTTGGAATCTTCATTGCATTCCATCTTTTCTGGACTTTTTGCGGAAAGGAAGCGTTACATAAATTGGCCCACCGGTGCTTTCACTGCTCGAAACATTTTTTGAAGTCTTCCTTAGAAATGTCTCACAGCTCCTCCCTCGTTTTTTTCTTAACCTCTTTGATATCGTGAAAGCGGCGTCCTTTCATGCCCCTTTTCATCCGTGGAGATGAGAAAAAGTCGCACGGAGCCAGGTCACGCGAATAAGGTGCGTGAGGCAGCGGAACCATGCCATTTTTAGCCAGAAACTGTCGAACAGGTGGAAGAACCAATCTCCTGACTGCTAAATCGGGTCTTTTTTGCCGAACACTGCTTCGCAATCGTCTTAAAGCCTCCAAATAGCACAAGCTCCAGAATTTTTTCAACATTTTTGTCGATTCGGGCAGTTGATGGACGTCCAGAGCGAGGTTTGTTATCAATTGACATGTCGCCATTTTTAAATCGAGCAAACCACTCGGACACCCGAGTTTGTCCCATAGCATCATCTTTTTAAGCTATTTTCAACATTAAAACAGTTGCAGCAGCATTTTTACCAATTAGAAAACAAAATTTTTTAACAGTAGGTTGCTCACTGAAGCTTGCCATCGTAAAAAACGAAACAATCACGAAACAGCTGTGGCAAAAATAAGGATTACAGAGAAAGAAACAAGCCAGATCGACAACTCAGGTGGCACTGAACTAGTAATAAGTTGCGCTGTACGCCTCTAGGGCCAGAAATGTGTACTACAAAAGTTCCCCCTAATGCAATACTATTTCGGTTATTTATGGGTACCTTCTCGTATATTTTTTAACATACTAAGGCCCAATTTCACCAACAACAGTCCGTTATTCTCCACCTAAAGGGTAACAGACCGTCAGATACAGCGAATGAGCTTCAAGTTCCAATCAACAAATTTTAGCAACCAATAGCTATGAAATGTTGAAAACAAAATACTGTCAAAATATGAGATGACAACTTGTCATTGAAACATTACCATTTTATTGAATATTAAGAAATTACATAAATTCAGTCAAAATTTTAAGAAATGTTTGATTTTTGAACTAAATTCATATTTTAATTACTATTGTTGATTTTTTGTTCATGTTTATATTATTTTCTTCAATTGATATGTGATACTGGGTGTTTTTTCCTACAAACCTCTTGCAGGTAGCCATTAAGCACCTACTTGATGACAGGCTCTACAAAAAGATATTGCTCGTTTCCAAACATTCATTCATTTACTTGCCGTTCATCAGAACCATTATGGCACCTTAGATTGATATTCCCACAAAACCATTCAGGTTTTTTGACATCCATACATCCATAAAGTTGAATATTTTTCGTTGTTGAGGAACTGAACAAACATCCACACTATATTTACAGCGATTAAGAAATTCCCAAATATATGCCTTAAAGCTACCAGCAAACCTATAAAACCTGCAAAAAAAACTACAAATTTGCCATATTTTTATTTTTTCACGAGTACACATTCTAGGTTATATTTATATTAGACATTATTTGAATACAGCTGATTATTGCATTCCAAGGAGTGACACATGTGTGGGATCTGTCAACTCTTCGTACCAGTCACAAAACATATATACTCTGTAGGTTTAATTCCATGATATTCAATCACAACACGGTGTCTTGTGTGGTTGTCAGCGGCTATTTTGTGAGGGTGCGACAGGGTTGCCAGATTGTGCATTAATATCCCGTTTCACCCTCCTGGTCCCAGTGGAGTAAGTTCCGCCAACTGTTGAAATATACTCTACTATGCTTTATAAGACTACTCGTGACATTTTTCCCAAAATCATTGCACAACACTTGAAAAAATGCAAATGAAAATTTAAAATTATTTCCATGACGCCGCAAAATAGCATCGTCGGTACCTTGGGTTATACATCTTGACAGTAGGGATGTTCGATAGGATCCTATATTTAGAAGTATCAATACATTTCACGAGTATCGTCATCCTTCGATCCGGACTGTGTCAGAAAGAGTGACTGCCATTTGGCTGCGACATTACCCTGCCAAATCAGACATATCTTTCATCATTTTCAAAGAAATTGTACAAAATCTTCAAATTTGTGAACTTAGCGAGTTTCACATCATACGTTCTTACCAGACATGCCCAAATCATCAGTTGCTGGCGTGATATTCATCCCGATCACTGCTTCCCCACGGCTAGGCGACCTGTATGATAAATTTGTATTGATAGGGCAGCGGGTTATGCATCATATGTCATAGTGTTTGTGCACTGATTGCAACGGTTAGATGATACCAAAAATATTTTCATAAATAGGAGATCTTTCCCATTCCGGATCGAACAATCTACCAAAGATGCTTATAATCATGATACCTAGTAAATTTTCACGAAAAAATTCAAAACCAGCAAATGTAAAAGATTCATTTCGCACCCTCCACCACGGGACGTGATCGTCGATACACTTGGCAACCCTGCGAGTGTCAGATAGATATCCCCGCCAGTCAAAAAAGAAAAATAGACAAACAATAAACATTACTAGTTTTTTGATTTTTGGACTTAAAAGCCATTATCTGTGAAACATTTTTCATAATTTTTTGTCTATGTCCATAGTAATTGCATTATGCATCAGGGAGATGTAGGGATTGACACGTCTTACACATATTATCTGTGTTTTAGGATGGAGAGGACATAATGTTTTTATTGCTTTGAAGAAATTCATTAACCCATAAATTAATAAATGATTACTATTATGACGTAAAGGAAGCTGAGGAATTGGATGGAATGTATTTTATATTCTATTTTCTTGCAAAATACAGATAAATCCACACTATTCAACAGGTATGTAATGTTAACTTTCAGTATATTGAAGTTGGTAAATTCGAGAGTGCCATCCATTAACAAACGTCCAAATCTGCTGCCAAATTTAATAGCTAGGAAATCGACCTATTATTTGCCGCATTCCCATTCGCTGAGGGGGATAACGGATTGTTAAATGTAAACCTATAACATATATCAAAATACATGAATGTTGTCCTGTTTTTTCTGTACAAAAGCATCATGTTGGAATCAAAAAGTGATCTTGTTTATAATACAGTCGAATTTTCACGATTTCATTCAATATTTTAATAGAAATCCCTGATATTCAGAGACCTTTGACAGCTTCCGTCAAATTGCATTTCGATAAGGTCTTTTCCTATTGGTCCAACTGACCGTCAAATATTAATGTTGGTGAAATTGGGCCTAAATGTGATATACAATACTTTGCATCCATTAAACAGGTTGGTGCAGGCGGCTTGTAATTCGGATATTAGACTATAACTGCCGATGCCGGGATGCAACCCCGCGAACCTTCGAATACACTTAGTCATCCACTTCACTTTTAGAAAAAAAAATTTCGTCTTAAATTCCGTAGTAGTTCCTATAATATTGTTGCTGGTACGGTACGAAACTAATTGGTTCAAGTCTGGGTTTCCCAAAGGGTTTGCTCTCGTAAAAATCTTTGCTTCAAACTTACCTGGGAGGCTGACTTTTTTTATGTTCCACATTGTCTCCATTGAGTCTCTTTCACGTCATCATGTCTTGTTAGGATATAGGAACTTGATTCCTTCGGACATGGTCCAGGGAGAAACTCTAACCCATGCTACATCCACCCATTAAGCTCCAATGTTCCTTGTATTGCTGTTCATTTTATGACTTCTTTATTTAGTCCTTATTGTGCTTGTTGGTACATTCAAAACATATTTTGGGGTTAAGGTTTGACACAACACATTTTGTGTCGTGTGAATAGACTAGAGAATGTTAGAAAGGCTGCTATATATGATGAATATGATGCTGAGTATTTTAGAGGAAGTTTAGTTATCTTTTTCTAGTGTATTTAAAAATCAACTTAGAATTCTGTCCCACTTCCGCTGTTGGATAAACTTAATTACAAACAAATTAATCGGATGCCAGTCTTTTTGTCTCTCGGTACATCCGCTTAAAATTTAATTTAGTCTTTCGACCAGCCCTTTCTTATTATCTTTCGCTCTTTCTATCTTCCTGCTCGTCGGAAGTCAACCCAAATCTGTTAATTAATCGACGCTAAAGCGTAAACAAACGTTTAATATCTGCTTTTCTGTAAGTGCTAACTTCAAAAAAATGTGTGTTGAAAGGTCCTATGAGCCAGAGGATATCTGTCCTTTGTGTGGCTGGAATGTTCCATCACATGTTTACTGGCTGCGGCAAGTAACACATACAACTTTGGATGTTCGTGTAAGATGAGGAGTACATCTAGACCTTGGTCCGAAGTTCTACTTTGTTACGTCTTTAAATTTCAACGTCTAAAGTCTTGCAAATGCACAAATTGCAAACAAAGAAGCATGAACAAAAATACATGGTTCTGGTATTCAAATCACTAGCAATACATCATAAATTATTTAAACGGTCTTTTCATGTGAAATGAGAAGTGTCACTCCGGTTTTTCCCATTCGTTATCGGACAATGACACCTTGAAGGTTAGCGATTTTTAGGATCTTTTTGTCGCTACCACTGAAGCAGCTGTACGTATGACAATTTTTATTTCTTTTCGTAACTCTAATTGACATACGAAAAGGTGAAGCTGCAACCTATGAGTAGTTCGATAAACGCACTACTACCGACCCCTACGTCACGTCGCGTCGCGTCGGTAGCACTAAACCACAGTATGAATCATTATAAAACCACGTTGTATAGGGTTCGTTATAGCCACAGAGGCGTAAAGCAAACATATCATCTTCAACCTCTTGCTACGTATGTCATTTGTACTTTCTTGCTCAATGTGTTTATTTTTCAAAACGGCAACCTCAAATGTAATTTCCCATTGAAAAATTAAACTTTTCTGTTTTTTTGCCGAAAAGTAATTTACGTACGGCAAAAAGAGCAAAAGGCACCAGAAGTGTGTTTAAATTTTCATTATCCAATTCATGAAAAACTAATGATGTACCCGGAAAAAATCCAACACCCAAGTAAGAGTTAATTAATTGCGCCTTCTGGCAAATTCAACCAACACCAATGCATTTTTATACGGAGAACTAGTCATTGATTCATTTCTGTTAAAATCAGCCCAGTATTTTTCGATATATTTGACAAAAATCAATTTCTTGGAACATTTTGGAAAGAGTATATTGAAGAATGTTTTCTACGAATTGTTATTTGCGTATTACTGTATCATAAATTTCACACCTTTCAAGAATGTATACCTTGTGTTTGGGGTTTCCCAGTAACCAGTAAGCGGTTAAGACATTTAGTCCTGAATCCTAAATACTTGACCTGTTCAATACTTTTTATGTTTTTGGGGTTGAAAAGTATTGCTACGTCTTTCGGTGTCTCTAGTTTAACTAGATGTGGAAGACTGATGCGTTTTCTAAGGTTACAAATCAATTTTTTCACAATTTCAGGATTTCAACCATTGACCCTGGCCTCTTGTTTGATCGTTTTCTTTTCTTTCTAGAAACATTATTATTTAGCGGGAGATTGCCTACTCTGGGTGAACAGCACATTGGTTGTAAGCCTAATTCAGTGTACACAATACCTCAAATGGTGTATATTGGTCAAATAAAAAATAGCTTAAGAAAAAGACTGTTAACCCATAAATCCTCTTGCATACTCGTAGAAGTATAAGTATACAGAAATGATAGGGAGCACACAGCTTTGGCAACTCATCATTTTCAGGGTAGGGAAGACCGGGGCTAGTTGTCACAATTTTCAGTAATTCTTTTTTTTTTTATTCGATCTGAAGCGTTATATGCACACATTTGGTGCATAACTAATGTGGTTTATCCTTTGGGAACACTATGTAAAATCGATAAGGCTGTTAAATAATTCACAATATTAAATTAAAATGTTTCAAAATACAGAAACAAATGTGACAACTTGCCCCTTGCTGGGGCTGGATGTCACATTGCTTGGGGTTGGTTGTCACGTGTATTTTAGATCATTAATAAATTATGATATCATACTTTTAAACATATTTATTCTTACAAAAAATGCTTATTAAACACCAAATCTTTATGAGAAAGAAGTGGAAGAGTTTTTTTACAATTATCCACTATCGCAGTTAGGGCATATGTAAAGTTCGCGTCCATCAGTGCACGCATCATGAGACCAACCATTACACGATGAGCATTTCACTCATTCTTCATTTGGCGCGCTGTTAGAAAATGGTTCAAGGCAAATCAAGCAAAAACATTCTTCTCCATCAGTTTCATTATCTGAACAGGACTTGCGTTTTTCAATTTTTTAGATTTCTTAATTTTTTTTCTGAATCAAAAACGTCTCTTTTCACTGTTTCCCTGTTCCTCTTTTTCTTGTTCCAGCTTTTATTTTTCTCTTTCTCTAATTCGTCTTTTACTGGAGTGTCAGTGAGTATTGCACTCACTAGTTTACGACGGGAAACTCGATTCATTTTTCTTGCCGATGCCTTTGAATAAGGTCTTAATCTTTCTGGAAGTACTATACTTGTATTTCCCGTATGCAGCCTTACTAAATTACTACAGCCGGGATCATCAAAACTAGTTTGATTAGCTGTTTTGCTCTCTCGTATATTATCTATTGCTTCCTGCGTGTTAATATTTATCAGACTTACAGTTTCATCTTCGTTCAAGATGGTTGGATTTGGCCCAACTTCCTTTTCGTTTAAGGTTTCCGGGTATGATCCAGTTATTGCTTCGTTCAAGATACCCGGATCTGGCCTATCAGTGACAGAGCTCGCAAGAGTCATCATCCGTGAAAATATCTCTGTTGTAAGGAAACACACCCGACACCCGAAATCCAGACTGTATATTTTTGGGAGTAAATTGCGAGGGGGTATGCAATAGAGACCACTGAAGGTATGTCGTATATAGTCATGGTCTTACCGGGATTATTTAAAACTCAAGCATCGCAGGAAGTATTTACATATGTCTTAAAAGAGCCGAAAACGGCGCGGTCAAGAGGTTGAAGTTTATGTGAACAGTGAAGGTAAAAAGAGAGCATGACAATACCATTTGCTTTGGCAAAGTTCACTCCTTCTAGACTCAGATGTGATCTATGGTTATCTAGTAAAAGAAGGCACGGTCTTTCCACAGTACTTTTCACATGAAGGTGAAAAAATCTAAGAAACTCCAAGAAATGTGACTCTTTCATCCAACCTGATGGGTTTGCAGAACCTTGTGAGCCAGGAGGAGCCGAATTTAAAAAATGTGGTTTGAAATGTACCCGTGGAAAAATGAAAAAAGGAGGTATGGAATTTCCAATAGCTGATACTGCACTTGCTAAAGTAACAAGGGTTCCTCTTTCTGATGAAACTATCGAACCAACCTGTTTCAATCCTCAACAACGCGGTCGGGTCTTTGGACAGTTGTAATCCCAGTTTCGTCCATGTTCCATATTCCGTGAGGCTCAAATTTATGTTTTTCCATAACTGGAGCTAAATTATCAAAAAATGCGTTGACGTTCGTTTTATTGAAATTACTGGCTCTTGCTAAACTAGTTGCTTCCGGTTTGCGAATAGACAGTGCAGGATGACGTTTTAGAAATGCACTAAACCAGTCAGGATCAGCTATTTTATGGAGCTTCCAATTTTCCGGCATTTTCAAGGAATTAGCATTAGCAAATTCATATGCCAGTCCACGTACTTCCTTGGGTGATAATCCAAAATAAATATCAGATGCTTTGAGTACATATTAGACTAGATGATTTTCAAGTTCAGGTTCAAATACTAAATGATTTTTGATGTAGCCAACTGAAATTGACGGCGCAACAACTCGATCATCAAGTAATTCAGACTCTGGAATTTTCTTACAGTATCTTGCTAAAGTAATTTACATTGAAGTCAGCTGCCGCTTTTCTTATTGAGGATCCTAATCTCACTAATTTAGCTGCTCTTAAAAGTAGGACAGGCGGCGCTTTGCCCTTCTCAGTCTTCCTTTTGAAATTTCGAACCATGCTTATGTAACCTGAAAATATTAAAAAAATAAATTATATACATATACCTACGTAGAATGATGTGCAAAGCTAATCGTCTAGTGTGGGGGCTAGTTGTCCCATGTGACAAGAGGTATCCGCTAATTTGAGACAACCTGCCCCACTAGATAATTAATTTTTAAGGTTAGATAGCGTCACTAAATTAACAAAATCAAAGTCAATACTTACGTCAAGTCGTATTCGGATTATTGAAGAGCAAAATAAATTCAACAGTTCTTTTTATTATCAAATGTAGTCTTGAAAACACAAATCATGTGGCAAACGAATAATTTACTCAGGTCAGGCGATTTGTTTATTTTTGTGTGTGTGACCTTAACCTACCAACGACAACTTTCGTACTGAATACAAGTGTTCTGCGCGGACGCAGAAACGATGTGTAGCGCACCAGGCAACTACATCTTGCGGAGCTGCTGAGATTTAACAATTGTGACAACCAACCCATGTGACAACCAGCCCCGGTCTCCCCTAATTATAATTTCACCTTTGACTCAGTCTGTCTATTAGACAATGGAATCAATCACAGAATACGTTTAATTAGCGAAATTGTTTTCATATTTTCACATAAAAATACTGCGAAGAAAACAGACACTGACGACCTTAGTCAAATTTGTAAATTCTTGATTAAGAAATTTAACAGACTTAAACCCTAAGCAGTCATGTTATCTCAGAATTGTGACTGCTCCTCGTGTATTATGATTATTATCAGTCTGGATTTCGTCCATCTTGCTTCAGTTGGTTCAATGCATCATTGTGGCCTGTACTGACATCAGTGAGTCTTTTCATGTTATATTCATTAATTTGTTTGTCGTAGCTGACTCAAAGGATCTTTGTTTCCCTTTGGACGTGTTTTGTGTGTCATTTGATAAGTAAGGTTGCTCTGCCTTTTATATATTTCTATTCATTTATTGTTGGCTTTTAAATTCGTTTTTTTAATAAGTATCTACATAATGTCCAATTTTTAATTTTTCCTTCTTTTAATTGTTGAAACTTCTAAAACCATATGATAACTTCTTAATCTGTATACACGTCTATTGACATTCTTTTTGTTTATATCCGTAGTCTTGGTGTCTTTGTGAAGTTTTCTGGCAATATATTTAACAGAAGTTCTTGATCGAATGCTTCATTTACGATTTTAAAATTTTACAAATGTATTTCTTCTAAATTTTCAGCCCTGAAGAAGGCGAAAAATAAATGGCGAAACGTTTGCAACTTGAAATTTTTACCTTTAAATGCCTATATATCCCAAGAATACAGTGAAATTAAAAGTACATTGACTAGTTTGTGAATCAAAAATTTAAAACCATTTGTGTTAGTTTAAGTGGTTTGCGCCTTTGGTTAAGCAGCGCATTGTGCACATTTCTTTCCTATAAACCTTAAAATGTAAGTCAGTAACAGTAAGGTAGAGCATTTAGGAGAATAGGCTGATCACGCTTCTCATGATCGTATCACTTCAAATTTGGTTTCCTCATTTTATGCGGATTTTGTAAATGTGGAAAACCTTTTATAACCATTAGTTCAGGGCGGGCTGGACTGTTTGTGTAGCTGGTTTGCACATCACCTGACATTTTTTTACATTTGTAGAAAAGGTACGGCTTTTGAATCGCTTGCTATAATTTCTAGGATCCTATAAAAATTTTCTCACCGCTTACTATGATCAGCATAATTCCCTTCCAATTGCTTCCCAAGAATAGCCCCTTGACTACCCAAATTTGATAAAATTACGAGTATTCATAATAGCTTTTGCTTTATGACTAGAAATGCATGTAACTTATAGTCGTTGTGTTTTGCTGCTGAAGCATCCGTTGGTCCTATTCCTTATTGACCACCATCATTGCGACTAAGATTTTCGTGAGTGTTCGTGATATCCGAGTGTCAATATTTAAACATTTCATGACTAAATATGTTTATACTACCTTTATTTAATTATTCTGTTCTCATATCTTGGATATTAAGGAAAAGTGTCAAATGAATAATTTATTACTGATGCCTGAAAAAAGGCACACACACAAAAGGCGTATTTGAAAACTTTCCAGTCACTCCCAAGTGTCGAGGCAAACAAGGTGTCCTTACAGGAGGACTATGCTTTCAGCCTAAGGTAGCCAGCCCGGTAGGATGTTGGTCCAAAGTTTCTGCTGCGTACTTAATGTTGTAGACAGTTACATGCTAACAATATCTTTGGCCCAAATCAGGCATTGATACTGGGAGTGGTTGGCTTCAGGAAACCTTCCTACTGTGTATTTTGTAGCCTGTATTTTGGTGACGATGGGAGGATATGAATAATGATTATAAAAAGGAAACACACAATGCCGCCGTAGTTACCAAAACGTCAGTAAAGGCAATTCTTACATATGTAGCTTCAGTTAGTTAGCAATCATGGAGTCCTTACGTAATTTATTTTGCCGTTTCTAATAACCAAACATATTTACGCAGGACCGGTGGCGTAGTGGTAGACGCTATAGGTCTCCTAATCAGTCGCCGAGCGCTGCGCGGGTTCGAATCCCATCCCAAGCGAATTTGGCTGTGGATGTTGTGATTTTCCGTAGGTGTTAGGCGGCCTGTAACTGTCGAACGCGGAGGTACCACCCGGCGGATCTCTAAGTGTGTGCATGTTACATGCAGACGTGTTCTCTCGATAGAGTCCGTGTAGCGACTTCCCTTTCACTTGTATCTCCTTTAGCCCCACGGTACCCCTGGGTGTTGAGGCCTTCATGGTGATTCAGATACAGATTTTCTTACATATTTTGACAGTGTTTCGGTGCATTTGAGTTATGAGTTGCTTGAATAGACTATAAGATTTTTCATTATTGATGTTTTTAGCAAAAACATTTTTGGGCTGTTGACTCAGTAATCGAAGTAGTACCGCGAGTAAGTGTGCTCCGAGCCCGTCAGATTCCAAACGATATATTTAATAGTTTCTTGGTTTGAATCTCTAACATGTGAAATGAAAAAAAAATACTATGATCATGGTGGTTTCATATATAGACAACAGCGATCAAAAAAGAAAAGCAGTTTTGTAAAAGAGTGCATTTTCATGAAACAGAAGAGCAATTCTTGAATCAACACGCTCCCCTAAGCGCGTTCCACTCGAAAAGGGATATATTTCAGTCACGATTCAGTGCGAGCTCATCTACAAAACGAGTTTTTTCCTGGAAGTAAGGGCCCGTGCAGGATTTACCGCTGAAAAAAGGGCAGTAAAAAGGCAAGTCAGGTGTGAGGAGGCCAATCGAATTGTCACATTGACGACAATTTCCGATACTCAGTGGTGGAGCGTGTAGCGCTGTTTGTAAATAACTACTGCTTTTGTTAAAAAAAATGTTCACGACATCAAAAAATGACGATGCTGGAACAAATAAAAATTGAACTCGTGACATGTTTTTTTTGTTTTGTTTAATCGACTTTTCAAAATATGTCTGTACTACTCTTCCTGTGACCCTGCAACATATCACTCCTCGAAAGCTATAGTACGTAGGCCGATGCAGACATATTACAAACAAACCGATAATAATTATCATCGAATATCGAATATCGGAAAAATAAAATGTTCAATTTTGAGAAACTGTTTAATCGATTTTTACAAGAAGCCAGGAACTACTAGTAAGAACTTAATTTATATTGTCATTAATATTAAAATTTAAATAATAATAGGTATTGAAATTCTCTTAAAATTACTATATACACTATGAAAAAGGCTGCTTCGATAGTCGATGTATCACCAGAGTTTGGCTTCTTTTTATTATTCAAGGCGTCCAGAAATTCAAGAATAATGCTGCTACTGGAAATAGGTCCCATGTTGACCTAATGTTGCTTGCAAGCGCTAAGTATACTTTTTCGGCGTGGAACTCAGTAGCTACAATATTGGTTGAAATTAAAGACCATATCCTCACAATACATGTTTGGAACATTTCAATTTTAATCCATTGCAAATGAATCACATTTGTAAGGTATTCAAAAGGTTTGTATACTGGACATCTTAAACCTACATTTTTACTGAAAGCAGGCAGCGCGAAACCCCAAGCTTTAAATTTCGAAAAACTAACTACTGGAATCGATGACAGGTTAGAAAATTAAACCGCTGGATCTTATAGCGGAAGTAAGTAATCCAGATTTGCTGACGACTATACCTAAATCATCCTTATGTGGGACAGTTATTCCTTTCGACTTTTAGTACATTTTGTTTAATTTTACTGGTGGTTTCTTTTGTTTTTTGAGTGTTCAAATGAAAGAAAAGCAATTAAAATGTGTTCTCAGATTGAACTGCTCCGTGTATTTTTTATGCCAAAAATATTAAGTAGTGGCACCTTGTTCATAAAAAATAGCTATGCAAATATCATCGACATTTACTAAAAGAATCATCCAAATCAGTTCCCTTGTTCCGGCAAAATCTCCTGCAACCTTGGCTACGGGTATTCTCTTTGGAGAACACATCAAGGTTTGAGAGAGGCAACATGAGCTCAGACGTTGCGCGTCGCACCACAATTCCTGATTTACCCATGCTGTTTGTCTCACATTTAGGTCAAGTAATTTCCCGGCCGAGTAATTTAATACTCGACAAAACCCGGTACGCGAACAAATGGGCCGAGTATTCCGAGTAATGGGTGCAACAGGATTACTCTGTGCATGCCTAGTTAGAGATATACAGCAATCCAGTTTGTAGTAAACATCGATACTCGCCTAGTGGAATTGTTGCCTTGTCTATAAACATCATTTTTCTTGAGCCACGTTTCTTTCAATATATTCAAAATTGATTGCTTTATCGGAATCAGTGTTGTTTTTTCTTATGTTATAGCATATATTATATAGATCAGAATTATTCTAATCCAACATTTCAATAAACACTAATCTATACGCCTAACCTTGACATCGTGTAGTAACAAAGGATGGGTTAGGATAACCTTGCCAAATACTTGGTTATTTAATGAAATTATTGCAATAGTACTATTGCTCAACATTTCGTTTGCTATTTTTTAAAGCATTTTTAATTTAAGTCCGTAAAGTTTCTCACAAAACTGCTAGTAAGGCGCGAATGAGAAGTGATGTCAGGATTAAATTTATGATAGTAATTTTTTTTTATGTAAATTGTACTCCAACTACCACGAAGGCCTAAGGCCTAAATACCCATTGGGTACCGTGGGGCTATAGGGGGATACATGGGAAAGGGGGAACGCCACACGGACTCTGGCGAGGGAACACGTGTGCATGCAACATGCACACATTCTGGCTCCGCCTACGAGATCCGCCGGGTGGTACCTCCACGTTCGACAGTCAGAGACCGTCTACCACCTACGGACAATCACAACATCCATAGCCAAGAGAAAAATTTCTCCTGGGACGGGACTCGAACCCGCACAGCGCACGGCGACTGATCAGGAGACCGAAGAGTCTCTACTACTCTCTACTACTGCGGCCACCGCTGCTGCCTAGGTGTTCAGATTGACCACTATTAGCCATTACGCGTGCCCTACATCTCTTAATAATGAAGGAATCCCTTTTTTGCGCGTAAATTTCCTTGCTGCCGATCACATTTTACCACGCAACTGTATTATATAAACCAGTTCTGTTTGATACACAATGGGCCTCTCAGCAAAGTGGTATTCTCGCAATCGTTTATTTAAATGTGCACAGCATGCATAAGAGCCATTGGTGGTCACTTTTAACACCTAGTCAAAAAAAGCAATAAAAATATACCATTACAATATCAGTCCTGCCCCTTAATCCTTATTCGCATCTTAAAAGCATTTTTCTATATTCAAGACGAGGTTAGAAAATAGTGGTGATCCAACTCCATTCTTTATTACTACAGCGCGTCAAGCTAAGACGTACAGACTGGTTCTCATTAAAATGTTGTATTGTGAATATTTTAAAACAAACAGGATTCAAGAAAACAGTAGGTCATATGTCACCTATTTGCAGTTTCAGGATTATCTCTCAATTTCCGTGTGTATAAGAATAAGGCTGAAGGATGACTTTTGAGGAAAACTCGACTCACGCCACTGTCTGTAGAAAGGTATAACTCCTATAAAGCGCCAATAAATCCGTAGATGATGGTCGTTGTGAAGTACAAAGTGAAACTTACGATCTGTTTTCATTACAAAGCCGTCCCTGCGGGGTCGTACATACACCAGAAAGAATTTCGTTTTACCAATAAAAATGATTAAGGGTCATTGGTTATCTTTTTAATCTAGGTGTGCTACGGCACAATAGATATTGCGAGGATAAACTACTTCTTTTGCGAGACAACGTTCTCATATATTTCGATCAGGAGCTTTTTGACGTTTCATCAAATCGACATGTAAATAGTTACATTTCATAAGTTTTTTTAGGTTAGGAGTTCCTTATACCTTAAACAATCATACTGCATTTTCATAATAATTATCAAGTCCTTCATCACAATCTCTTTTTACTTCCCACGCCTACTGGCGTAAAAGTATTGTAAGCGCGAAAAATTTCAAAATGAGGTATTGTGTTTTTTGGACCTTATAGGATATATACATCACGAAAAACAATGTCTCTCTTTTGCGTCGGTCTGTCTGTCTGTCGGTCTGTCCGCTAATATTATAACCGCCTATAACTTGAGAAGTACCGCTCGAAGTTCAATGAAATTCTGACACAATGCCAATAACTAAAAAGCTTTGTAATTTTTGACCACTGGCGGCAGAGAGAGAGAGAGAGAAAAACAAAAAACTAAAAACATAATATAAATATATATAAATATTCCTCAAACCCTGTTTTTTACGTTTCAGGGGATTTTGATCACTTTTGAACAAACATTTTGAGGCAAAAAATCTTGGAGGGTGGAGGTTGTAGGGGGTGGGGAGGGTTTATCTCAATTTTCTGATGTTTGTACATTTATGCGCTCTCAACCTTGGTCAAGTTACCTGTTGACATATTTCACACATCATACATTTTTTTTTGTTATACTCCAGCTACCACGAATGTCTAAGGCCTAAACACCGCCGGATGGTACCTCCTCGTACGACAGTCAGAGACCGTCTACTACCTACGAACAGTCACAACGTCCATAGCCAAGAGAAAAATTTTTCTTGGGACGGGATTCGAACTCGCACAGCGCACGGCGATGGATTAGGAGACCGTAGCGTCTACCACTAAGCCACCGCTGTTGCCTGCTGTTCCGTTCATTAGCCCATAAAACTAATATAGGAAGATATTGTCAGCAGACGGATAGTGTACATACCGTCCGCGGCTGCTGCTCCAGGCGGCGTGCTGTCGGCCTTGGTGAGTGTTGTTCTGGTATGGTATTACACGTGTTTCCGTCGCGCCACAGCATAGTGTTTCCTATGCTCTGACCGCGCAGCCACGTCTGACTGGGTTAAGTATCGGGGAGAGAGACGCTTCCAGATGCACTACCGGTAGGGCAAGATAAGAATGTCTATGGACTAATTGTATGTACCTGTTTGACTGATTTTTACCCTCAGAGGATCGAGTTTGAGCTGAACATAATCCTTTATGCACTTGTGAGACATCACTAGACTGGAAATTTTACACTCTTTTAAAAAATCCGATATAGCGGCCATAAGAAAAATGAAAGTTGAGGCAGGTTTTGGGAAAACAAAAGACGATTGAGACGTGTTATACACGCTATATTATTTACCTTAAAAAAATGACCGAATAATCTTACATTTTGACAGCTGTCAAATTAACCGTTTCGGATTTACTGGCCAAAAACAAAATTCGACATTTTCGGTTTTTCACCAATATTTCCAAAACCAATTGACGGATCGTAAAGGCCGGCCATTGAATGCACTAAGTTTCCTCTAAGACTGAACCTTTGCTGTAGTTATAATAGGAGCTGAGGTCCCTGTATAGAGAAGCGAATCTGGGACATACTGTATGTAATTATAGATTATACACCTGCCATCATCATCATTGTTGACGAACTCGGAAATACGATTGACCATTGACTGTTCATGAACCATGGTGTCATTTTACGAAAACCATACAGCACTGTAACTACAAGGGATATGGTGGTAGGTTTGCATGCATACAGCTATGTAATGGGTTATGCATTAACAGTCGTAACGTCATGTTCCCCACCGTGATCTGTGCACGTATGAAATATTTCCCTTAGTACATCTCCGTCTGGCCAAAGGTGATCTCTGGTGCGGCCGGCGGAAGGTCAGGTGCGCTTGGAACTGGCTGAGGGGGTCCCGAAGGACCCCGTCCTTCCCATGAATACGGCATTTCATTACGGCTGGCCCGGAATAAAGTCCTGTGCATACCCTGAGGGAAGAGGGTGGACTGGGGAGGGGTTGGACTGCCCTCGCGGGTCAGATTGCGACGAAATATGAGGCGATGCCACCAATGTCGTATATACCGGATGAATGGATAACATGCTTGACGATGAAAGTTATTTTATCTCACGAAATTCATGAAAAATGGCGTCAAGTAGGTTGACTCTGTACTTCCGACGCAAGGCTACCATCAGTTCCTAGAAGATTATGTGCGGCACAAGTTACCCCTTCTGAGAAAAAGTTAACTACGAATATGATAAACAAAGGAATTGAATAAGTTAACCTATTTCTAAATCCCCAACCCATTTGATAATCTTGAAATCTGGAAATTTCTCCTCCACCCTGCCGGCAGGGTTATTACGTAAAAAACCTAAATGAAGTCAAACAAATCAGTAAAATATCATCTTGTGCACTAGGTAGCTTCTGGTGTGCCGCTACTTCATTCCGCTCCGACTACAAGTGACCATGAAATGAATGTCAGCTGGTTCAAAGGTGCCATTTTATAGGAAACCCTACAATTGATTTTCAATGTTCAGTCTC